TAGTCAGTGACCAGGAGGACCCGTTCGCCATTTCAAATTTTGGGGTGAGAACCTGGAATTAGAGGGAGACCGGTAGCTATGACCCACACTGACCACCAGGGGGCAGGCGCTCAACGCATAAATATGTAAAGGGTGTCCCAAAAGTCACGCAAGAAGTAATTCTGATAGAAAACACAGGTTTCTCGTGAAAAATTGTAAATTCTTTATTGATTCCTAAAGTACACAGTCTAGGGTTTATGGGTGGAATAGCACGTCAGGTCAGTGGCCTCCACGGCTTTGCTGGCACAGACGCAAAGCCGCGGTCTTCATTGGTCTTTTGTGGAAATTTTCCACAACCGATCTGCGGCTGCTCACACAATAACAGTTCATGGTGCTCGCTATCACGACACGATGACCCATTTATCCGATATCGTATTCCATACATAACCCTAGACTGTATAGCTTATGAATCAATAAAAAATTTACAATTTTTCCTGATAAACCTGTGTTTTCTATCAGAATTACTTCTTGCGTGAATTTTGGGACACCCTTTATTTTTTTTTTTCCTTTATTGAATAAGATATTACAAATGTGAAGGGACACCCTTTATTATTTTTTAAAAAAAGGGGGAGTAGTCGGGGGTGAGCCCCAGGGCCCTCCCGCTGTCGAGTGGATAAAAAAAAACGCCCTGGTTTCAAACTCAAAGGCACACACAGGCCAGATAAACAAGGTTTAAGTGTACGTGTACGTTTTCTCAAAAAAAAAAACACCCCAAAAGCTTCCATTTTCCTAGAAACGTCGGTTTATTCCCATCGAGACGTGCTGAGTCCAAAGGGCTGAAATCCACGAGGCGTCGCGAACATAAAACAATAGAGCAATTTAATAAAAAATGAATGTGGCCCTGGCCGGTGTGGCTCAGTGGGTAGAGCGTCGGCCTGCGGACGGAAGGGTCCCGGGTTCGATTCCCGGTCAAGGGCATGGACCTGGGTTGCGGGCACATCCCCAGTGGGGGGCGTGCAGGAGGCAGCTGGTCGATGTTTCTCTCTCATCGATGTTTCTATCTCTCCCTCTCCCTTCCTCTCTGTCAAAAAAATCAATAAAATATATTTTAAAAACAATAAAAAATAAAAAAATGAATGCGTCTTCCTGAACATGAACCCACCAGGCACCAATGAATGAGTGTCAGGCCCATAAACCCGTTTTATCTCATTCCCCCCGAAAGTGAGATATTTCCCGTTGCGATTGCCAAGCGAGTCAGTCCGAGACCAAGGACGCGGCCGTCGGCTTCTAGAACATTCGCCGCCGGTATTTGTGGGGAGAAACGGTGCCCCTGGCGGGAGGGACATGAATTCCACACGACCAGAGTCATCGGTCATTGGCGAACGTCGTAGTTCTCGATGAATAATTACTTCTAACGCGATAGTGTAAAAATTAAGGGACAAAATTGCTATTAGAATGTTGGTGACATACCGTTCTATTGGCCGGCCCGCAGAAATATTCGTTGTTGTTGGCTGGTGGGCCACGCCTTGGATGTGCTTGATCTAAAGCGTGGAATAGTATGCAGCCCTGAAAAAGGTGGGATCTCTTACCGTTTGAGATGGCACAGAGGGACCTGGAGGGCAGGACGCTGAGGGAGATAAGCCGGTCGGAGAAAGACACGTATCCCATGATCGCACTCATTGGTGGAAGCTAAGGGACCAAATAAACGGATCAATAAAATAGATCCAGAGACAGAGAAACATCGATCAGACCATCAAACCTCAGAGGGAAGGCGGAGGAGGGTGGGTGGGAG